CTCCTCGGCCACGCCCGCCGGCCAGGGAGGGACCCCCCAGGCAGCTGGACCGGGATGGGGGGGCCAGTGGTGCAGCGACCACACCGTGGTGGGTCCGTGGGGATTCAGGGTCACCGCACCTCGCCATCGCTCGGACGTCCATTCCCCGTGCATGCTTCGACTTCGTGCGTGTAACTTCCACAAGAGGACTCAAGATGCTCTTCGAGGGTCCCCGCCGAGGAACACAAACACGACCGAGCGATGCCAAGCCCGTTCCTTGAGCGCGGGTTGTCTGGGGTGTGGAAGGGGGGCGACGAAGGCCTCGGGAGGAGGAGCAGGAGGAGGAGGGGGCGGAGGAGGAGGAGGAGGACAGGGAGGAGGAGGAGGAGGAGGAGGAGGAGTACAAGGAGGAAAAGGAGGAAGAGGAGGAACTGGAGGAGGAGGAGGAGGAGGAGGAGGACAAGGAGGAGGAGGAGGAGGAGAGGAGGAGGAGGAAGAGGAGGAAGGGAAGGAGGACGAGGAGGAGGGGGAGGAGGGGGAGGGGGAGGGGAAGGAGGAGGAGGAGGAGGAGGAGGAGGGGAGGAGGAGGAGGCGAGGAGGAGGAGGAGGAGGAGGAGGAGGACGAGGACGAGGAGGAGGAGGAGGAGGAGGAGGAGGAGGAGGAGGAGAAGGGGGAATAGGGGGAGGAGGAGGAGGAGGGGGAGGAGGATGAGGAGAAGAAGGAGGAGCTGGAAGAGGAGGAGGAAGAGAATAAGGAGGAGGAGGCGGCGGCGGCGGCAACGATATCGGACCAACTTCGTCGCACGAATAACCAGGCGGCGAGCTGACCGGCACGTGGAGGAGGAGGAGGAGGAGGATGTTGCAGGCCCAAAAGGCAGAACAAAACCGTGGCGCTCAGCAAAGCGCGGGCCAACGTGCCCTGGCCAACGGCCAAAGTGGCCAACGGCCAACACCAAGGGCACACGCGCAAAAAGAGGGGATCACGGACACAAGCTGGGACCTGACCTCCGGCCTCCTTTCCTTGACTAACTCCCAATAGCGCCAGAAACGCTGTGCCTTAGGGAGGAAATCAAGGAAAAGAAAGCAAACCAAGGACCGCCCTACACCCCGCGCCAAAATGGCGCACGGGGGTTCGGGATCGGCGCCCAAGGGACAATACACGGAGCGTTGCCCAGCGCCCGCGCCCTCACAAGCACGGCAACAGTGTGCCCGCGGCAAAGAGCACTGCAACCAAGAGGTTACAGGCGGAAAGCCGCGGGCCCGCTCTGTGGTCGTCAAACGGCGGTCCACCTCAGACCAGGAGGTGCCACTGGGGTCTTCCCGCGCCCAGGCCGCACCTCTTGGCCGAGGTGGCAGGGCACTAAAAGCCCTGGCCTGACAGCTGCAACGGCAACAGCAGCGGCAGCAGGGAGGGGGAGGGGGAGGGGGCCACTCTCCGGCCCAGGAGCGCAAACAACGTCCACCCTGGAACCTAATCCAGGGCCGTGCCGCAACTCCCAAAGAGGACAAGGGCGACGGACATGACGACGAAACGAGACACGAAGGACGACAACGAACGACCACGAACCTCCCAGCGGGAGGTGCCGCCCTCCGCCCTATCCTTATCGCACCCGGAACGCGGGCGGGATAAGGATCTGACATCATCGGACCCACACCGCATTCAGGCGGTGCCACACGGAGCCCAGGCAGCACCGCTTATCCGCGGTGGCGAGGCATTTGAAAATTGCCTCGGCCTGACGGCGGAGGAGGAGGAGGAGGAGGAGGAAGAGGAGGAGGAAGATGAGGAGGACGAGGAGGAGGAGAAGGAGGAGGAAAAGGAGGAGGACCAAACAGCAAGACCGAAACAAAGCACGCATCGGGGCTCAAGGAAACCCGCTTCGCCTGGCGCGCTCAAGCCGCTGCGCGGGACAGGGGAAACGCGCGGAGGCGGGGCTTCGGGAGCAAGCCAACGCACGAGCAGGCGAGAGGTCGGAGGCCGGCCAACGGCGGCCATCCTTTTACAGTAAGGACATTGGGCCGCGGATGTTTTCCAGCATGCGTTATTGCACTAGCGGTGTCTCTTTCCTCTCCCCTCCCCCTCCGCGCCCTCCCTTCCTCCACCGCTCACGGCGCGCTTGCAATTGGCAGGCACGGAGGAAGTCGCGCGAGTATTATTCGTGGGCCAAGGGTGCACGACGACCCCGGACGTCCATTCCCCGCGCATGTGTCGATGTCTGCGAGTTTTTTCTGCACGAGGGGACTTAAGATGCTGCTCGAGGGTTTTCGCCGAAAAATTCCGTGGCAAAGGACCCAACCATCTGCAGTTGCGAATACCGCAGTTGTGAGTATCGTCTTCGGCCGCGCTCGATATTGGGCCACGAACCGCGCCAGGGGCGTGCCGACATGCGTGGCGGGGCACACGACGCGAACGGATACGATATGTCTGTGTGCGAGAGACTGAGAGCGGGTGAGTATGAGCGCGAGTGAGTCTGGTTGTGAATGAGTCTGCGCGCGCGTCAATCTACGTACATCGATGTCGACGCCAATGTCGACACGCCGCTCACGAGGATCGCGCCCGTTTCATTCCCATGGTTTTTCTCCCTCTTTGCCCGCGCACGCCCAATGTCCAAGGCTGCGGGCGCGGCGCCGCGCGGAGTCCCCGCGACGCGCGCCGGTCGCCTCGAAAGGGTCCCGGCGACGCGCGCGGGTCGCCCGCTGCGCGCAGCAGAGAGAGCAAGCAGGTTGGCTGATAGCGGGCAAGGCTCTGGCCGCCGGGCAGAATGATGACGAGGGCGAGCGAGGCGCTGGGCAGAGCGCCGGATGGAGTTCCCGCGACGCGCGCTGGTCGCCCCGAGAGGGTCCCTGCGACGCGCGCGGGTATCCCGCGGCGCGAGGCCAAACGGTCAGACCGTCGAGAGACGGCGTGGCTCGGTCGGGGCGCTCCTCGGGTCAAGCCTCGCGGATAAACTCGGTGAAGTCAGCTTCGCCGCTGGTGCCTTAGGTGGAGCTCCCTGTAAGACCACGATGTCAGTGCAGTTCTTTTAGCTCGGACCGCGCGGCAGTCCAACTGCGGGCGCAGTCCCAGGGCCCTAGGACTAGGGCCAAAACGGCGGCGGGCAGCGCGCGCGCCACAAACATGAAAAGCATGTGCATCATGCGTACAAGGCGGCACGGGCGGCAGAGGGGCAGGGGAAGGCACTCTTCACACTGGGTGAGGACAATGCTGCCCCGATGCCGCTCCCTACAAGCGTGAAACGCTGCACGCAGTCATCGCCTATACCGGCCCACGGGCCGGTACACCTCAAGCAAAGTGCGGCCTGAGGCTCAAAATATAAAGTATAAAATATGAATGTCTACACTCACTAGTCCAGACTGTGGTCTCAATGTACGTGCGGACATCACCGTGGCCCTCACTAGGTCCACGCAGCGGCTGCAACAGGACCTCACGGGCTCGCAGGCCCCGGAACGGCGGCCCGACGCTGGGCCTTCCGCTCCTTGGCTCTCTCACGCTGTCCGCGGCGCAGCCGCAGACGGTGTGCCTCCTCATCCTCCTGTTCAGCAGTAGGCACCATGCTGAACAGTCCGTGGCGGAGAAACTGCGGTAGCACCTCGTTAGGCTGCACGGCCTTTGTCAGCACGTCCGCCAGCATGTGGCTAATGGGCAGCCACTTGAACTTGATGGCCTCCTGCTCGATCAAATCCTAGGCCACCAACAAGTCGATGAGGGTCTGCCGAGCACTGGCATCGAGCCGATCTTGGACGCGTGGTCGTAGAGCGACTTCGCATCCGTCACCAGCGCCCCCGGAAACTTCAGCGCCAGCCTCCAGTCCCCTTGCAAGGGCGGCTCCCCGTGCAAGACTGCCTCAATCAGCAGCCTGAGGTAGAGCTGCCGATCCAAAGCCACGGACATAGCCGCAGACTCTGCGGCCATCGTAGATCCAACAACTCGTGTAATAGTACTACTCTGGACTCCACTAGACAACATGCAGCTAGCTCCGTCAACACTCGGGTATCCGTAATCATACTCATGAACCCCATCTGGCTCTTACAGCCGGGTTCCTTCGCAAACGCAGCGCCCATAAGCGTGAGCACCTGCAAGCGCTCGATGTCCACGCGGCGGATCCGGAGAGTCGCAAGACCTCTCTTGTCGCAGTCCTGAAGCCGGTCGATGATGTCATTGAGCACTCGCAGGTGCAGTAACCTCCGACCTTTCGGATCCTTCTGTGCGAGCGCCGACGCACTGTACGCAAGTTGTGGCACCACACGTGCGACAGGCCAGCGCACCTTCTGGAGCAAGCTCCGGAAGTCGCGGTGCTCTTCGGGAGTCATCTCCCGCTCCTCGTCGCCCCCCCTTGCAAGGGGGTGCTTTGTCAGCTTGCCGATGTACTCGTGCACGCTGATCTCGATGTGATCGGGGTGGCGCCACCACCCCTCGCCGAGATAGGCGACAGCCTCCTTGTCATTGCCCTCCTTCCAGTGCTTGATGTTGAAACGCCTGTTGATATTCGCCTTCACCTCCTGGTACTGGGGGTCGCGCGGGTCCCCAAACAGCATGCCGTGGTCGACGTGCAAGGTCAACATAGCAATCAACTTTCCGGTCGCCCGATAAACGAAGACAGCCCGAGCACAGCGCAGCTCCACAAAGCCGACCTCGTCCGTCAGCACCTGGCGGGCTCGGAGATACCACAACCGAGGCGCCTCCGTCAAACCGCGCGCCCCTTTCAGCAGACGAAGCAACGCATAAGGCCGCACAGCCGGCCATCCCGCGCCGTCGACGGCCGGAAGTCCGTCCTTAGGAGCCCTCGCGTACAGCTCCCGCTCCAGCTTCAGCCCCGACAGGAATGCAGTCGCTACGTCGAAGCACTCGAATGTCCAATCCATCGCCATTGTGATAGACGCACACACCAGCACGGCCAAAGGGGAAGTAGTAGGCGAATCCGTCCTGAATAGACCAAGCTGCGGGTCGAGGTGGCCAGGGATGATCAAGCGCGACTTCGCCTCCAACTCCGGCCCTCGCCCCCGGTTTGTGCGAACCGAACGCA